TTTTTTGTCAATTTCTTTTTTCCCTTGTCTATGTGTGATTTGTGAGAAACAAAAAATTATCTAGTCTATTATTACAACACTGTCCATACATTACTCACAACATCAGGTTTCTGATTAATAACCACAAACTAAATGATAAATTATTGATCACAGTAAATAAAGTTAAACGTAAAATTGTCGTGTTACATGTATATATGGCATTAATTTAATTTCATGGGAAATTAAATAGATTTAAAGATATAAATTACTTACAAGAGTAATGTTGTAGTCATGCCCCACTGCATACTGATCGTTTGTTTCATAAATGCTGAACGCGCTCAGGGAATGTCGATGAAGATAAAACAAAAGTTATGAATATGATTGAAGACTATCACGCACTGAAGATACTATAAAAAAGAAAGACGCAGATGCTGTCATCATTCGACTTAATTGCCGTTGCGCAGTAACTAAGCTAACCCCCACAGTCAAGATGATGAAGTGCATCGCTCTCCTCCTGGCCCTCGCCGCCGTCGCCTATGCCGCCCCAGGCCTGAAGGGATATCCAGTTGGCTACGGTAGTGGTATCGGTCGCATTGGTGGCTTCGGCATCGGCAAAGGTTTCGGCTTCGGCGGTCTCGGCTACGGAGGCATCGGCGGTTTCGGCAAGGGCTTTGGCTACGGAGGTATCGGAGGCTTTGGCAAGGGCATCGGATACGGTGGTATTGGTGGCTTCGGCAAGGGCTTTGGCTTCGGTGGCTTTGGCCGTATTGGTGGTCTCGGAGGTTACGGTGGACTTGGTTACGGCAAGGTAAGCAGTTTATTTCATTCTTAGGTCATGGACATAAAATACAAAAAAATTTAGTTTTGAGTTAATAATTTGCTTTATTGTAAGAAAACAATTTATTCAAAAGATTGGCTATTTTATCTCAGTTTCTCAGCATTGCGGTATTTACTGTACTTTCGAAGTATAAATATGAAGAAAAAGGCATTTCATAGATTAAAAGTTGTGAGTATATTTAACTCAACAAATTGTTTCGTCGTTTTTCAGGGAATTGGCTTCGGCAAATTTGGTCTCCTTGGTTAAATCTGTTAAACTTGCAGTCGAGTGAGGACCAATCGGTAAGTAGGCTTATTTTTTTATTTCCTGCGGCGTAGTCAGGCAAGTCAATTTTTTTAACCCGACTTACTGATAATAAGCTACTTCTGCTGCAACCTAGTGCAGGTTCTACATGCATTAAATTCGGGCCTTGTATTTGATGAATGTACGCACGTTTGTGAAATACAGTATTATTCAAATGTGTTTTCTTTGGTTCATTGGAGAGAGATGGAGAGGGGGGGGGGCTGACAATGCCAGTCACTGAAAATAAAAAACTATATATCATAGTAAAGTTATGTTAAAAATGATATAGGGATCTTCGTACACTATTAATTTTAAAAGTCACACCAAATTGTATTATTTCTCATATGTTTGAAGAAAATCATATTGTCGTTCTAGGACTATCAATAAATATGCCTTGTATTACCAAACTGTTTACAACGCTATTTTTTTTTTAGTCCGGACTCTTGACGAATANGGGGGTGAGGGGGGGGCTGATAATGCCCGTCACTGAAAATAAAAATTATATATCATAGTAAAGTTCTGTTAAAAATGATATAGGGATCTTCGTACACTATTAATTTTAAAAGTCACACCAAATTGTATTATTTCTTATATGTTTGAAGAAAATCATACTGTCGTTCTAGGACTATCAATAAATATGCCTTGTATTACGAAACTGTTTACAACGCTATATTTTTTTCAGTCCGGACTTTTGACGAACACCCTTTTGTGAGTCCTGCTGGAGTTGCATCCATCATTTCTAATAACACATAATATACCATATCATGTTTGGGCCTAAGGACGTCCAGGCTGATAAAGAATGACCACGACCTGAATACTGACACACAGCAGTTGCATTGAATACGTCAAGACTAAGATTTCACTGCCGTCTTGACTTGACTGAGATGTACGTGAATTGATGCATACGAACTAACTGTTAAACATACACATTGTTATTGATTTTATTAAATTGAATTTTTGTATGAATACAATTCTTGTCCAATTTTCAAATGTGAATTTTTTCTGTTACGAATTTGTGTTGAGACAGGAATAAAAAACCCTTTTTGAAAATATACTTCCAAGTCTTACCGTTTGCTTTCATAGTGTTTTCAGTTTATTTTTTATTCATGACTGAGTTATAATAATAATAATAATAATAATAATAATAATAATAATAATAATAATAATAAAATATTTCTTCTTTTTCTTCTTATTATTATAAATGAACGACGCCTAAAATGGGAGGGAATAGATTAATAGAAATACGTGTTGAAAGCTTTCTATATAACCAGCACTGTTACGATGTTCCTTTTTTTTGTTCATACCGTATCTGAGAGCAAATCATTGGTGCATATTCCTCCGAGAAATGTTACTGGTTTTTATTGCCTTTACGAAACTTCCCATGTCTAATATGGGCTTCATCTTTTCGAAACGTTATTCAAGTATCCATCTACTTCTATAAAAAAAAATCTAAACACGTATTCTGTGAAATATGGTGCGTGAACATTCTCCATTAAGCTACGGGTAGTTGACCTCTGTATCTGTAGTAAGTGCATTATTGGTCAAAACCAAAGAAATTAAGAGAGGCGTTGATCGTAAAGATGCTCTTTAACTAGGGGTGAACAGAACTTCGGTTTGTTCGCTGGGCCAGGTCAAGCTTTTGCAAGTACATTATAAGTATATTATACAAGCCACGCCCTTATGCCCCGGGAACGCATTTGCATAAAAGCATACTTACTTTAAATCATATATTGTAAAAATGTACGAGTGTTTTTGACAGCTAAGCATAAATATTTGCTCAAAAGTAAAATAAAACTATTTATCATATTGCTTTATTTACCCGGATTCAATAATGATGCATTGCAGTTATGAATAACCATACAATAAATAAAGAGTATTTTAAAGGCAAAATGCTTAAGAATTATCAACCGAAGGCTAGACAAAAACATGTGCTGACAGTATCTGCTAAGATTATTGAAGAAATCTGATATCTCTTACAGAGTGTTTTCAACTGTAAACCTCAACGCCACGATCTCCAACAGTCACTAACTAGTATGCAGAACCCCAAGGAAATGTCAATTTGAAAGGAAATAAAGAAGAATTAACTTATTTACTTTTTCAATGTTGTTATGGATATTATATTCTTATATTTTTTCAAAGTCTGTTGTACGACTGAGGGGTTCTCGTAACATACAATTCAGGAATATTGTTTTACTGTGTATCTATGTACATATTCCCACTCCCTGTAAGGGCCTTCCTAAATTCTTTACATTTCACCACTGTCGAGAGATAGGAAGGGATGTACTTAAGTAGGACTTTAAAAAGGTCGATTAAAGGGGAAAATATTTTAGTCTGTAGACCAGACAAAATGTATGCTACTGCTCTCTCGGTGTCTCGCCATAGTCATAGTAATTGATATAGACGTGGGTGGATTTAAAACAAAGAGATCAGTAAGGAGTAATTAACGTTTGGATGTGGCGACTTTCTTTCCATAAAGTTCTTCGCCCATGTCTACAAAGATAGACTTCGATGGCCCGATCTGAGACAGAAAGGGACCCACTCTCATCAGTTGATTGTAGGTTTAAGAGATTGGAAGAGGAATTCCCATGCTGTAAACATTTGACATTTGAAACTTTAAAATTCACGTATACCTTTTTTATCATGGGTGTTTTAATGAAGAAATGGCACATTGCTGTGCAAACTGCTGAAAAACTGTTAGAATATGTATCAGTCTGAATCTGTACCATTGAAAAGGTGGACCCCTTTAGGAAAATAAATGGTCGAATGCCCACAAATATTTTTGGGGGTTTAATCTTCATTTGAAAACGGTTTCCCTCTTTTTTTTTTTCGTTTCAAAGTATTTACTTAGTTTACCTTTCAAATTCATATGCGTGCTTGTTGGATGAAAATATGTTGGATGACAATATTGATGTGACAAAAAAGAATAAGACAGATGAAACAATAGTGACTTCAAATACACTCTGTCACTACATGTAACACAAAGCCACCGCTTTCTCTATCAGACTCTAGATTCCGGCAACCTAAGATCCCTACTCAAAGGTCAACTGGTCTTTTCAGTAATTTGGTCGGGAATCACCGTGATTTGCTGACCTGCTACCATAAATCGTAGTATAGTTAAATAGATAAATTGCACATGTTAATATACTATTAACTACAGTCACCCTGGGAAGGGCACATACTAAAAACTTTGGCGTGCGAATTAGTGATGGTTATCAGCCATTTTCTAGAAAATATCAGTCGCCATGAAGCTCGTCCATTACCATGATTACAATACGGACTTGTTAAATAAATTACACGCGACAGTCCACCTCATAAGTTCATATGATAAATCTCACATGTCACGCGTCACGTAGAGACTGTGCCAGCATAGGAACAACGTCTTCTCAGATAATTCAGGACTATTTATACATTTATAAACAATAAGACACGGCCCTTTTATCTGTGGATCATAAAATCCATAACGCCCATTGTAAGTTAATAAGTACATCGCCATTCACAGACACTGTGTCGCTCACAGAGATCTGTTTGCATGCAGCAGGAAGCAGCAGGGATCTTTTGTAATAAAATAAGGAAGAGTCCAGAACGTCGTTAAATCATATTTAAATCTATTCACTTATCAATTATAATTTGTTGTTATACAACAATTTAGCTATTAGACTGTACACGCACAGTGCAGACTATAAAATGACTAGCGGAGAACATTCCTGTCACATTTAGCTTCAAGGTGCTCACACTGCTCAGCTAACCAAACTCTACATCCAAGATGATGAAGTGCATCGTTTTCCTCATGGCTCTCGTCGCCGTTTCATACGCCGCACCCTTCGGCGGTATCGGTGGCTTCGGAGGCTACGGCGGCATTGGAGGCTTCGGAGGAATCGGCGGCTACGGCGTTCTGGGCGGCTTTGGCGGTCTCGGAGGCGTTGGTTATAGCGGTATTGGAGGCTTCGGCGGCTACGGCGGTCTGGGAGGCTTTGGCGGAATCGGAGGTTTTGGAGGCTTTGGCAAAGGATTTGGTGGCTTTGGAGGCTTTGGCAAAGGATTTGGTGGCATTGGATTTGGTGGCAAGGTATGTGTCAAAGTGTGATTTTAATGTAATATCCTCATTTAGATATACATTTAGATTGATAAGGTACGTTGTAAATTTGGTCCTTATTCTTACTTACATAATTTATATAATTTCTTAGAAATAATGACATTGTGTACTTACTGAAATCAATGATAAAATAGACTAAAACAAACATTTTAGTGTTGAATATTGTCCTTTCCTCTAATATATTTAAATCACCTTTCAGGGATTCATTGGTTAAGCAAAGAGCGGAATTACAGACACAGAAAACAGCATCAAATGGCAGCAACGAAACCAGCGATATTTCACATCACAACTTTGTAGATGTATGGCTTGGATTAGATAACCTGATTAAAATCATTGGGTGCCACGGGTCCAAATCACACCTTTCATAAACTATCCAGAAAGGGAATATTGCCCTGAACAATGTATGCACTAGGACCTTTAAGATTAGTGCATTTTCGTTCGTGCCAGTACACATCCAGGGATGAAACTGTACACTTCGCACGCTTTGATTGAAGTGGTTTCATGTGCCAATTTAGACAAACTGTTCTTATTTCAATGAGCTTCATTTCTAGACTACAGTTATTCTTTTTTACATAGATATCTGTCTTCAGTAAGAAGATAATTGGTAAACACATGAAGACAAAAATAAATTATTTTGAAATATAAGTTCTGTTCACTGTTGTATTATTGTCATAAAGAGAAATGCTCAGTATCGGCGAAGAATCACTAAAATGACAAGGATGGAATACTGAATCACCAATACTCAGTCATATTCATACACACTCAAGCACAGGCACTAGGATTGGACACAAACACGAGTGCACGCGCGAGCGCGCGCGCGCACACACACACACACACACACACACACACACACGAACTGAGGAAGACAGCCACTGAGCTGTTGAAAGTTTCATACGTAGTGATGAAATTATCTAGCTCATAACACTGTATGTAATTATAGTACTCCAAAATTGTTTAGCACCTTTACATATATGTAAACATTGAAAAAATATCAAAAAAAAAAGATTTCTACACGAAAAAAAAAAAAATAATAAACAGGATGCCTCACGCTCTTTTCTTTTTTTTTTTTATAAATTCAACCAATCACAAAAATGAAGTTCAAGAGAGAGCTTGTTTGCCTTTAATTCACCTTAGTAATTAAATTGATATCAACGTAAAAAAAGTACGAACAACAAAGAAAAAAACACGAAATGTTGATAGCAGCCTCTTTAGTTAAAAGGAACGTTGAGTTCTGTGTATTCGTGCAGAGGTTGACTACAATTTCTTCATCAGAACGGCTTTGGTTCTTTTTCAAATGTTTTTCCCCCGTGTTCAGTGTGGTCACTACTTTCTCATTCGTCCACACATAAAAGATATCCATTTTTCCATATTGTCATTGGCCCCATTCAGAATAGGGGACTAACTAGTCCGAGGGTCAATTATGGCCGACCCACTTGAATATTAAAGTCGCAGAATCAATGGCGATAATCACAATCGCGACAGTCGTTACTTCCTGGCCTACTTTTTGCCGTGGATTATCGGAAGGATAACACTGAGCTTTTTGCTTAGTTCGTTTCTAGCACACTGCGTAAGGGTGCGCCCAAGCTGGATCAGGTCTCTCGGACTAAAACAAAAAGAAAAGGAAGTATACCTTTGTAATCTTTTTTCGTTCGTCTATTTTGATTTTGTTTTAAGGGGATCGGATGATGGAGAGAGAAAGAGAGAGGGATGAAAGAAAGGTTATATTATGTTAAGTCAAAATTTTAAATAGACTTGAAGTTAAGTGCTAACAGGACTAATACTCAAATTTTGCACTAGAGAATTCGATAAAGAATATGCCATGTAGATGATGTTGAAGCCTTGGACCCATCACATATCAATATACATAACTTATCGCGTTATAAATCTACCGAAGACTTACTGATAAACGCGTTTTAGCGTATCCATGTTGTTCTTTATGGCGGTGCAGAACCCCCTGTTTGCGTTACACTCAGCCAGCATTTTCTCCCCGTACTGCTCCAGGGCATAACACTGGTTGGAGTCAGCGCGGTATTTACTGAGGAATTTACCCATAAGACACTTGGTTGACTCGTCCGCAAACTGCTTGCCCTGTATAGATGAAAATAACAATGACTGGATCATGGAGTGTAGAACATGTCAGCAGCTTTTTGTCGTCTACCAAATTATTTGCATGAGGCTTTATAGAACTGTTATTTATTATTCTATTTATTTATTCAATTGTTCATTCATTTTGTAAAGACTCAAGCTGATACCTTTGTATGTCATATTTTCAGAATTCTCACAAAGACACCTTCTGCATTAAAATTATTCATAATTACATACAATCTAGGTCTACTCGCTCACGCACTCGTGCGTTAAATACACGAGCAAGTTATTAACTTAAGTTATACACATACTAATACGGAAGGGTATTGCTGTCGTATTAATCTTATTGTGGGATTTAGAGATAGTATCTCTTTGGAGTTTCGATTAAGTCAAAAAACAAAACAAAAAGGCAGCATTGCGCTTCTGAATGTTCTGAAATTTAACGATACAGACCCGAAATTTCGAGTTACTGACCCAAAATTCGAGTTACTTATTCTAAAACTCACAATAGAATTAAAACAAAATGACAACAAAGTGCTCCTGTAAACACACGAACATATATATGTTTGGAAAATTTTCTGTTACAATTATTATCTGAAACTCTGTTGGTAATTAGAAAGTCAAATCGAGCACTGATCCGTTTTTGCCTACCTCATCATCAAAGCTGTCGTAGTACTGCTTCAACCTCTGACACAACCTTTTGCCGTACTCTTCTGAGAAGTTGTGATCCCTGGAGCAGCGCCATCTAGCGTGGAAGCAGTTCCAGAATTCACAGTCTCCGTCACGAGCATTCTGTTCGCACATGGGGTTCACATCTGGAGAAGAAATAACAGAAATAAGTCTGATTCTCTGCCTCCACAGCTGTTTTTTATATTGTGCAAAGCATCTGACCAACAATAAATATCTGGCACTACGACGTGCAATTAATGAATAAAAGGCAGAGGCCACATTTTCAAACACTATGCAAAAATGAATAAATAGTGATGTCAAAAAATCATGAAAAAAATCAGATAAATGCAATATTTCTATGTACTTGTGAATAGTGGCTGAAGGTGCTGTCTTCGAACAAGTTTGACCAGCTGATAACTTTGTTAAGAAAAGAGTGTCCAGAAAAAAAATTAGGCTCTTTTGTGATACACATGTATTATATTTGGGAGAGACAAAAGCATGAATGAGACATCTCTAGCTTAGACGATTCAGGTCCTTCGAACTAAACATATGTATGTATGTATGGTAGGGCAGCCATTGTAGTTAAACTAAAAATGCCTTTTGATACCCATATTGCACTCCCAAATTCTAGCCCCACGATAGATTTTATCGACTTACCTTCCGATGGATATATAGTTGGGCTGGATCCGAACAAAAAGTGGCCGTTTACTTGATCACAGACAATCAGACACAGTGAGAGAATACAAAGAACATTCATCGTGTGCTGCTTTCCACTGGATCTGGACTTTGGTATGTGTACAGTATTCTGTAAGACTGAGGCCAGTTCTCAATATTGACGTCTTAAAATAACATCCGTAACATAGATGTTCCACTTTTCAGGCTCATGACCCCATTTCTGGATTTTGTTGCTTTTCCCGGCTTTTCCTGTTTCATATAGCACTGTTCAGTGGCTTTTAGTATATTTAAGCAAGAAGTTGTAGAGTAGAACTTCAGCCTTCTTGATTTAAGACATTCGGGCTCAGTCATAAATATTTGCATTGTACACTGTACTACTGCTACTTTGTTGTGGAAGTCGTTAATGAACAAATGTTACAAAAATGTGTTACAGCTGATCGATGTTATTATATCATTATGCTTCATTAGAGGCAATGTCCGGGGGAAATTAATTTAAATAATGATATTTTATTTATCATATCTAGATATTGTCTGGTTATTTAACTCATAAAATTGCAAAAAAAAAAAAAAAACCGAATCTGTGTGGTTTACAAAAATTATCTCTATTGTGTTATTTTAGGAGAAGCATGATATTAATCTAAATTTAATATTAATTTCAATTTAATTTTACGCCCTTAGTTGCCCCCCCCCCCAAAAAAAAAAGTATAATTATGGGCTTCCTTGGGCATATTGTCAGTAGTTCATTGTTCACATGACAGGATGCAATCTTGATTTCCTTGAGTGAGACTGCTGCGGCTGGTCCCATCTAACGCATTGTCTTGGCAAGCGAGTTACACTGGCATCGGTATACATGTATTTAAATAATAAAGCAAAATGCTTAAAAAGGATAAAAATTGTATTTATTTACACAAATAACACTATGTATAGTTTATGACAAAACATCAAGAAGAAATATGATTGTCTACTTCATCGATAGATATTTATGATATTTTTATTCAGTTTTATTCCTAACACTGGCATTAATCAAGTGCGTTTTCTAAAGTATAGATGAAATGTTCCCCATTCTTAGTCGTCTTTATAGATAAAAGTGTCCTCTGAATAAATTGGACACTGGTGTATTCAGCAGTATCTCACTGAAAATATTTGTGTGCAAGTTTGGGGTGTGGTTCATTTAGGCATTTTGGAAAGTAAATAATGCTGTACAATAAACACTAACAGAGGGGTTCAAATATATAACACTGGCAGCCAGTATAGCTGCAGTTTGTCGATCTCTCACGCTACGAAACGTAGAACACGTTAAAGGGAAAATATTTGCCAGATGTTCTCAGTACAAGGTTCTCTTCTCAACACTGCTACAACACAGCTATCTTGCATATGTGTTGTCGGGGTCAACACGTGGAAGAGAATTCGATTAAAATTGGTAAATTCATGTTGTCTCACACTAGGTAAGTCATTCTATCAAGTCCATCGTTCTCATAAAGAACCGGTTTTATTTGCTCTTTCCAACGTTCTTTTTTAGTGAAAGAATCCTTTCGGGTGTGTTGCATCTTGGCACGTGACCCTCATCTTGCGGTCATCCAGTGGAAGAAGCTGTTCAGCTGCTGGAGGTTGCACGTTTGGAGAGCTTCTGATACCTCGCCCTGAGCGTCCATAACTGTCTTGATGCTACAAAGAAATCATTGGAATTTGACTTTAGTTTGTAGACAGTGTATTAAATAACTCGTTGCCAGGAAAAATGATGATGGTAAAGAAGAGCAATGCAATGCTATTTTTAGTCGGGTGAGGCGTATTTTGCGTCTACATGATAATTTTTCATTTGAATCCCATTGGTGTCACAGTGAAATGAAAAATCATGTCAATCTTTAAAAAATTAACAGAAAAATCATGTCTCTTTAAAAAATCAACTGATCTCTGTTAACTACGCATATACGGAAAAACTATGTTCACTTCTGCCGATTTTTTTGTTTTACATGTTTACTAAACTGAGTCGAGATACACATAATAAAATTCCTTTACAACATATGGTTTTGATTCAGTAATTTCATTACTTAGCATTTGGCTATTCTAGCTGGGATTTAGAACATAACATGACCAAAAGCAGGATGGAATTCCGTTCTTTTTATTTGCGTTTGACGTTATCTCCCGACTTCTCCGGCCTGTACACGCTGCGTTTCCGCAGATTTTATGTAAGTCCAGATATGTCAGATATCGGGTCTGATCTCTTAAATGTAGATGGTAATGGGATAAATAAGAGGAATAGTGCGTATTACTGCCTCAGCTACTAAACCAACTGAAACGATTGAAAAAACATCACCTCTTGTTCTCAATGTTTAGACAGCATTTTCCAGGGTTGTCATGTTCTCAAAAGCAAGGTGTGTGTGTGTGTGTGTGTGTGTGTGTGTGTGGGGGGGGGGG